ATGTATATGTATATGTATGTGTTTGTATGTATATATATATATGTGTGTGTTTTTGTGTGTGTCTGTGTGTGTGTAGAGATACACAGTATGCACTGCACATATCATAGACAGACAGATTTGGTCAGGCACATAGATCTACATGATAACGAGACCTTATGCACTGGTCTGAACACTGCTGCGTTGCCGATTCTTTTCTCTGAAAACCTGCTTTCAGCTATGCATTCTTCTCGGACATTCAGGGATCAAAACGTTCACTCGCCCACAAAGATGCGTTTCGACACCACCCTAAACCTAAACCCTAAACCCACCCTGACCCCTGATCTTTCTTTCGGTAGTTTAATTTCTCAAACCGTAGACCTTAGACTCAAGGTACATGGCAGCCAAGGGGCCGGCAAGCAACTGGGACCGCGGAAACATAGGGGCCGAAAGAATTGCCGACATTATTCCTTAGGATTTAGGGCTTAGGGTTAACACGATTCCGTAATTTTCCTGATTAAGATATATAGAGTGCCATAGCTACAGCGAGACCTTTTCGAACTATGAAGGCCCCTATATTAAGCTTTTCTTGGAGGGCTTGAGTTCGGAGCCGAGGGTCTCGGATTTTGGGCTTAGGGTTTCCAGGAATTGAGGGTTCCAAGAGCCTGGCCCCTGAGCTCCCGTCAGCCGCAAACCCGAAACCTGCAGGATCCACACACGTGCTGAACACTCTGCCGTGCGAACCATACTGTAGGGTTTAGGGTTTTGGGTTTAGGATCGGATCCCGCGACATTCTGACAAACCTGCTTCCGGCACTCAGGAGGCCGAGACAAAGCTTTCAACCCTAAGCCATGTAGCCCTGAGGTCCGATAAACGCTTAACCCGGCCTTTACTGGGTTCGTGCTAGGTAAAGATTTCAATATTGTTTACAATAACAAGGCAGCCATATCATTTACTACTATAAATCCTTATGTTAGTAAGTAACTGAAACTATAAGTTCGACGAACCACAGTTTAGCCTCATCCTGTCCCGGACTGTTCAACCCAGAAACTTACATTATCGAGCTTTGGCTCCATAGAGTCGGAATGTTGCCTACCTTCACCTACCAAATCTGCCTTTCTTGTAGGGTCTTTAGAAATTCCACAGCCGGGCCTTGTTTTCGGACTCTACGAAAAAGTAGGGTTTGCTAGTTTCGCTGCAAACCAGATGCAAAAAAAAGGGTATGCGCAGGTGTAAAGTTCCTTTCTTGTCCGGCGGTTTGACATGGTTAGGATCCCAGAGTACGACAACCAAGCAACGACAAAGGGAACTGCTTTGAGATTATAGGTACGCTGGAGTCCCTACCCTCTAGAATCTAGACCCTGAACCTTGAGCTCCTAAACCCTAAACTAACAAGCAGGCTAAACCCATGTCAAAGCCATGTATACCTCCATGTAAACATCCATGGACACCCCTTGAAGGTATCCCTTACAAAGACCCTATAGGGTCCCTTGAACCCATAAAGCCCTCGTTGTGGTCGTACCAGGAACCTCGCCAGTGAAGTCCGAGGGTGAGTGCTGAAACTCCTAAAGTCCAAAAAGCCGTACACCCTGAAACCCGTTTAAGGCCCCTGAGGTTTGCTACTGTGACGAGGCCGGAGAGGCACATCTACGAGTACACGCAGGTGTTCCGGGCCGAAGTCCGGGTATCCGGTGTTATAGCTAGGCTCGAACTTAGGGCCTGGGGAAATCAGGGGAGAGTATGAATGGCATGAGGGGCTGGGGGTTGACGGGTGCTTTCAGGCTTTCATATGCTGGAATTGTTTTGGGTTTAGGGGTGTTGGGGTTTGAGGTTTTGGATTTCAGGGTTTAGGGACGGATGTCGCGGGAATGGCATGTGCACCGCAGTCCCTCCTCAAACGAAGGATGGGATTTGGAGTGGGGTTCAGGGCTTGGGGATTAAATTCAAGGCTTTAAGCTTTTGACGGTGCCGCAGTTTTTTTGTTTCAGTGTTTGATGCGCTGGGCCTTGCTTGCTGTTTAAGAATCAGGAATCCTCCCAAACGAGCATGGAACGCCAGATGAGAATTGGTACGACAGAGGTCTACAATGATATGAGCCAATTGTCAGGTTTTATGCTGCCTTGGATAAGGAAACATGCGCCTAGGTGCCATGTCTAAGTTTGAGTTCACCCCCCAACACCAAATGCGCTGCGGGACATCTTGCTTTTCAGTCCCTGCAAAGGCTTTCGAAGCTTGCTAGCGACGTGCTTGCCTAGGCTCCTAGCGTTTGAGGAAGCCGAGGGGCTGGCTGTTGTTTGCTGTTCTTCTTGTTTTTTTTTTTTTTGCGGCCGTGCTGTTGTCATTCGCTGGAAGGGGCAGATGACACCTCATGTGAGAGGAACGTGACCCACAGCTCGGGGGACGAACCGAAATCCGCGCTTCGAAGCACTGGAATGCCCCTTAGCCCGGCTGTCACTCGAAATCCTGAAGCTCCCACAACAAAATCCCTGTTGGCCTCAGGTTGACGCATTCTTTTTGGGTATAAGAATTCCCAAACCCAAACATGCCTGGTGTAAGCAGTGCTCGGAGCGAGCAGAGAGTCCCAGCGTGTTTGAGTCGAAGCCGCGATTCCTCGAGGCTGTCCCTGATGATCTCAATTGCACGCTCTGCGGTGACGTTTTTCAGAATCCTTCCCAGATTCCGTGCCTGGGATCGAAAAGTGTGGGCAACTGGTCTTGAGGCTCCATTCGTTGATGAACTTGAATTGTCCGGGCAAGATGGCTTGAAGTGTGTCTTTTGGTTGATAGTGTCAGCGGTGCCTCGGTGCTGCTGAGCGGCACAGAAACCTGGAATACAAACAACATACTGCCATCATGGCAATAGCAAATCTACAAGGTGCGGGCACCACTTCTGCAGCAGCTGCATCCGCGCCCTTCTTGCTCGAGGGACAGGCGGTTTTGGTTCAGCTTGGGAGCTTAGGCATCGACCGGTTGAGGCACAGAATGTTTGACATGATGCCGACTTCGTTACACTAGTCCCTTAACGGGTACTGCGACTGCAGCTGTTTCCATACGCGCGACTTGAAAGAGGCAATGGTAGTTCAACTCCTAAACTAGACAGACCCAACATGCATGAAGATCCACGCTTGATGCCGGAGTAGTAATTATCCTCACTCTAGGGGCCTGCCCGAACGAGTACTATGCTATGAGCTTTGGGTTCCTTCGTTGTATGAGTCTGCGAGGATCTACACCACTCATCTGCACCAAAATCCTGTTCCGATCATGAGGGGACTTGCTTGTGTCTGAAAGCAAAGCTTGGTCCACTACTGTTTTCTTTCCGTGTCAGGGATCCTTGCTGCCATTGAGCTTACATGTAAGTGCAACCACAAACGATGTTCACAATCGGCATAAAGCCAGCCACTTCCTCTGACTTGAACCCGACCTTGAAATTCCAGGCCGGATTGTGATTGCCGATAGTCTGCATCAAGCCAAATCTGTCATTTGCAGCTCCCGGGCTCTCGAGAACTGTTTGGCTTTGTGTACGAAAGTGGGACCGGCAGGTTTACATCCTGAACCCTGAAGTTGTGCCCCACGGAGAGTCAAAGGGCGAAATCTCTGCAACATCCCAGCCAGCAAGTCGGGGTGAAAGCTGTGTCGGCTTTAATTAAGGTTTGGGTTCATGGAGTCTGCAGGAGACTTCTATGTTGCCGCGCAAAGCTTGAGGAAGCACGCAGGATGATGTGGGGTCGGTGGTTGACAACATCTTGGGATTTTTGATCCCCGTGCGAGCAGGCACTGGGTTAGAGATGGTTAGGGGATGGGGCCCTGCATCTCTGAGCTCTTGCGTGTGCGTCAGCATCCTTTTTTGCACCTGAGGGGTTGACTGCTTCAGCTGAGCTGGCACTTTGAAACGCAGTGGTAACAACTTCACTTGAGGCAAGTGGCCCTGAAGTTTTGCAACCACAAGCCCCAAACCAAAGCGCTAGACCCTTGAGCTCGTGTTTCTGCTGCACTACTTAGTGCCTGTGGGGGTCGGCCACCACGAGGTGCTTCCCCAAACCACCAACAGGAATGCTGGTCTTGAGGGCCGGATGCATTCTTCGGATGCTGGATGTACAAACAAACTTCTCAGAGAGCCAGACCGAGAGTATTTCAAAGGGTGCAGTAGATAATTGGTTCAAAGAAACTGTTTTGGCAAGCCTCAGCGAAGTTTGATCGCCGGTAAAGGCATACCCTTTTGAAACAGTAGAGGTCGGGCAGAATTCTCTAGTGAACCTACTGGAGCAGCCGTCCCAGGCTTGCGTGAGATGTGGTCGTTTTTGTTGCTACGTGTGGTTGCTTTGGAAGTGCATGCCTTGGGATGTAACAGTAGCAAGCTCGAACCACCGAACGCCATGCCAGCCTTGAGCGAGTGTGTGAGTCGAAACCCTGTTCCCTACACGGCCAGGCCGTGCAAACTGTCCCTTGGATGGCCAGATCGTGACCCGATTTGCGGCACATGGACGGCAAACATAACTGGGTTTAGGGTCTCGGCTAATCACACGACTTCTAGGGCAGGGTTTAGGGGACTTAAAGCCCCAAGCCCTTAACCCAGAAGTAATGCGGGCTCGTCCTTGCTAAGTGGGAGAGAAAAAGAAGTAATGGTGGGTCAGGCGTGAGAATCCGGACATGTAAGCCCCAACGGCAAGTCTTGCTATGATGCTCTAGATGCGGAGAAGCCCTCTCCATTAGCCATTTTGCCCCGAGTTGCACCTTCAGCTGCCACTTTTGGCCCACATCTTCGTTTGTCTGATTCTCGACCCTAAACTCCTAAACCCTAAACGGTCTGCAACCTTGCCTGCCTGGTGCGAGTGCGAGAGTCGAAACGAGCCTACTAGGAGATTTCCGGGGATTTCAGAGGTTCTCTTAAGCAATTTGCTATGTAGGTTAGTTCCACGTAGAGGTTTCTGACAGGGCGCGGTTTGGCAGGGTTCAGAACGGTATTGATGTTTGAGCACTTTGGCTTGTGGAACGGCTCTCGGTTGCTGTTCCTTGTTGGTCACCAGCCTAAGAAAAGAAAGGCTTAACAACTTCCTTGGGGTTCTGATTTTGCCATCATTTCTATGGGTTTTGCCGGGCTCATGCTGCATGGCCTGACGAGTTAGAACTATTTCTGTCCTGGGGTAGACAACAGTAAGGGGCCCTTCGTGCCACATATGTAGACCTGCTTGTTACTGCAGATTTGTACCGGATCCATGGGTAGTGGTTTACAAGGTGTCAGTGTTCGGGCTGACGGTGTTTTTGGCTCAGAGCTTCAGGCTTTCGGGAGTTTAATACAGCTTTATGGCATTAGGGTTCAACGTTCGGCGTGCAGGTTTTCGGGTGCATGGGGGTTGAACACTTCCCTAACTCCCCTCAACCCTGAACCCTTAGGAGTACCCCCACATGTTCAGATTTCTCTGAAGGTTTCAGGGCGACGGCTTCTGGCGTAAGTCGCAAACGCAGAAGCCTCGGCCAGCCCCCAAAGGAACTATAACAACCAGTACTGGGTTTAGGTTTAGTATAAGAAGATAATAAGATAGAGAACCCCTGGCCAAGTGTGCTGGTTGAGTTCGGTTCTTATAGCAGTTTTCCTAAACCTTAAACCCTGCACCCTAAGTAAGTGAGGGTGCGCGGGGTGGGAGGGGGGGCCGAAGCCGCTCTCGCCTCCAGCAGGTTTCCTGACGGGCTTTTGTTGCAGGTCGTGTTCTGACTAGGCTTGAGGGTTTAGGGTTTTAGGGTAGTCCTGTGGGGGCGAAGCTCGCGGGGCCTAACAGGCGACTGAATGCCCTGGAGAGAGAGAGAGAGAGAGAGAGAGGGTTTAGGCTTTTTGAGTCCAGTAGCCAAAAAAAGGGTTCTTGGCTGCCAGATGGAAAAGAGCGCGCCAACCACAAACAGGAGACTGCTCCCAAGGCATTGCCTTCTGATGCGCAGCTGCTGCGGCGCCTGGGCCAACTGCGCGTCCGCTGTCCTGTCTGCAGAGAGGCGAGGAAGGCATTCAGGCTTTAGGGGTTTAGGGTTGTAGAGGTTCAGGGATTCTGGGGTTTAGGGATTTGGGGCTTGGGGCTTTTCGGGGTTCAGGGCTCCGGACTTAGGGATTTAGGGGTCCGGGGCTTGTTTGGGTTGCGGAGTTAGGGGTTTAGGTTACGGGTTCAAACTTGATGCCGAGGGCTGTGGCCTGCAGGGTAAAACTTCGAGAGGTCGGAATGCTGGTTTCAACAAGACTGTTTTCGGCTTGGGGAGTTTATGGGTGGTTTGGAGAGTTTACGGGTGTAAAGGGCTTAATTTAGGGTGTAAGGTTTGGAGGTTTAGTCCTTTGGGAGAGTAGGGTGTTTGTGGTATAGTATAGGTTATTTGAGGTGTTGGGGGGGTATTGTGCAGAACTTGGAAAGAGCCCCCCCCACACGCACTCCATTCAGTTGATGTGTTCCACATGCAATACATGAGCTGGTTGCCAGAAGGATCCAGTCTACTGTAGGAGGATACTTGCTCAAACCACAGTCGATAGAAACCCTACCACTTTGTACTACTAGGTGCTTAAGACCCTGTGCTTATGCAGCTGTTCCGGGCAACAAGTGCCAACGGTTTTGCTGCAGACTCTGCAGACTAACTGTGGCATCTACCCTGGAGGGTACAGGCAGGGGCTGCTTACACAACTCAGGGATGTATAGTCCATGGGTTTCTGGCTTCAGCTTGAGGGCTTATGAGTTTTCTCTTAGTCTTAACCTCGTTGTTACAAGTGTTTCACACTGCGCAGTTGCTATTCCCATGCTTATCAGGGCGTCGGGCTCGTATCGCCAACGAAGTTTCAAGTGCCACTTTTCCGGAGCTTCGGCTTCGTTTGGGCGGTGCCTGGAAGGAGATTTGCGTCGAAGATCTGCAGCTGCACCTTCAGGATCCAGCTTCCTGACCGAAAAAGCCTTCAGCCCTTGCCGCTATAGGCTTTGGAGGATTTGGGGTGTAGGGAGCCCACTCCATGGAACCCCCCCCCACCATTTTTACATAGTTCTTGCGGACTGCATCATCCTCTGCAGCGACACCAAACATCTCGGGTTTCAAACCTGAAGGACACACACAGTCCAAAGGACCCACCTGTTTCAGGGTTTGGGGTTGAACGGTTTTCGGGTTCTTATACCAACCACAACGCCAAGCTTTACTACGGAAGCCAGACTCTGCATTACGCACCCTAACCCCCCCCCCAAAAAAAANNAAAAAAAAAAAAAAAAAAACAATTCCTACAACCCAAACCGACAAAGCTCTCAGCCCTCAAATCCTAAAGGTAGCTGGGACCCTTGGGAAAAAGCCCGGGTCTCCAACCTCGAAGCCTTGGAAGCTGCAGGCAAGGAAAAGCACGAATGCGAATGTAGCAGAAGAAGTCCAAACCCATAACGCCTGCGAAAGTTGGGGGGGGGGGGCTCAGGACTTTGGGGTTTAGGGTCTATAAACCCTGAACCCTAAAAACACAAACAACATGGAGACTAGGGGGCTTGAGGTCTCCATGGTTGAGTCGGCGGAGGCCTACCAGTCGATCCTGCAGCCTTTCTACATGAGCTGCCCACTGTCGAAGCTTTGTTGCAGAGGGCATCTGTGATCCCGCTTGGAGTATACAGGGTTTATATGTGGCGTGTGGGTGAGTGTAGCAAGGGCTCGTTTTGTCGTTTTGAATATGGGTGAACGTGCGAATGTCGGGCATTATTATGCAGATAGGGAGGCAAGTAGTTTACGGCCTCTGCTTCACTTGAGGTTGGCTCTTGGCGACAGAAGCGAACAAACTAGTGGCCGACGGACTCGTTGGGCGCCCTGCACACTGCGCCGCCAACTGTAACCCTTACAACCTAACCCACAAGAAGCAAACTCAAGACCGTCACGTTCTCTCACACCTTGGCTTCTGGCGAGTTGGCTCGAGAATCTCTTTGCATCTTTACCTTCCCCGTCTCAGGGTCGTTACGGTAGGGAGTGGTTGTATGACAACTTAGGCTCAAACTTCAGGGTCTAGAGTCTCGTCCCCATGGCCCTGAACCTGAAGCCTTTCAAGAGCTGCCACAAACCTCATCAGACTTTAGTTTTGTTTTCGTGAAGTCCATCATGTGGGGAGATTTCCAGACAGCGCTGAGGACTAGCTTGAGGAAGATAGGTTTGGGTTTTAGGTGTTGGGGGGGGGGGGTCTTAGCAGTGTCAGGAGTAAGTTGCTGGATTGCTCTGTAGCCCCCACCATGGTTTGGTCTGCTTCTGTCAAGATGATAGAGGTTCGAGGGGCTGGACTTGAGTCCAATGTTAAAAAGGTTAAGACAGCAAGGCCTCGTGAAACGAGCCTTGAGTGAGTAGTCATACTGTGCACGTGCCACCTGTCCAATACGCTGCTGAAGTCAAAGATCTTATTCAAGCTTGGGTTTGTGGTTCGTGGGCTCCTGGCTGATGGCATCTGTCTGGATCTTTTTGCCATGTCTGCTGCTGACCCTGGGTGCTCATGCAGTGTTCTCGCCCGGATGTGCATTGGCGGGGAGACGCCTCGGCTTGAACCTAACTTCTGTTTGGATGCTGTCCAGAAGAGAGATCAGGCACAGATCCGGTGACCTCGCTAGCCAACACCTTCTGAACATTGTTGTGAAGAAGGTATCTAAACTGAGTAGCCGCTTGCTGCCACAAGCCTGCCCCTGTGCTGTTGTTGTGTCTTCGGCATGGGAGATCCAACAATGGGGCACAACATTGGAGAGCATTCCGTATACCCAGAACGACAAGGAGAATATTTGGCATGCCATTCGCTGGGAAGAACAGAGACTTCGGGCAGCGCTGTCGCAATGCAATTTCGATGCCCGCCACGGGTGGCCGGTGAAAGGTGCTTTGTATCACTACAGGCAGACGATGAAGAGGCTTGCCAGGACTCTAGACGACGAGAAAGCCTTTTATACCGACTGGGGATCTGAGATCACGGTCACAGACGACTCCCATACCCAGGCACTGGCAGATGCAAAGGCGGTCTTCGAGGAGCTGCAGCTTGAGTGGTGGCCTTGTCGCGGAACACTGATCGCGCTGCTGCGACACGGAAAGCGAAGTGGCTTGCTGTCGAACGGGAAAGTTGACGCTGTTGACCATGATGTTGATCTGATGCTGGCTTTGCCTTCCCTCCAACAGTGGCCATCCATCCGTGCCTCTATTCACAAGAAGCTTGTGGAGCGAGGGTGGCATTCTTGCATTGGACGGCGCTCGACGCGTGAGACCTATTTGGCATGGGCAAATGCGCACGACGATGTGCTGATGTGCGCCAGAAGAAATCCGACAATCACTCTCGACATGTTCACCTACATTACGGACGGTTCTGTTGTGTATGCTCAGAAGTATTGCATTCCTCTAGAGCAGGGGTCAGGCTGCTGGTTTCCTCATGACGGAACCTTTCACGGAGGTCACGGGAAGTTGCGCGTTGCTGCTATCCGACCCCTTGGCCAGTGTAAGGCGGGCTCCTTGTCAGTTCCGTGCCCAAGAAAGCCCCTTGAGGCACTAAAAGCTTCTGCAGCCACATTTACCAATGTAAGCTGCGTGGCACTGCCGGACGTGGCGGACCGGATTCAGTATGATAGTGACCATCACGCCAGAAACAGCTGGCTTGCTGAAGGCTTGAAGCAGGAGGATGTGGATATTTTGCGGTCCCGCGCGATTCAGCTGCACAGGGACGGCTACATGTCCATGACGCCCTATATAGAGAATTGTTGGAGAGCCCAGAGCCCGAACTGAAGCGTGTCGACTTTCCAGCTATTCCTACATTGGAGTCCGACTGCTGGCACGCGTTTGCCTTGGAAGACGCGGCACCAAAATGCTCTTTTCCTGTTCCACTGGGTGTTCTTGTTAAGGAACTTCAATGATTGTATTGCTGCAAGCTCCCATAGCACGGGGATGTGTTTGTACGTACGTATGTATGTATGT